GAATAGAACTATGCTGACTTTTCCAGTTCAAGAGCACTGTGGTCTGTTTTGTTTATTTCACCATCACTTGTAATTTTTACCCTATGCATTTTGTATGTTTTGTTACATTTATATGTATTTTCTCTTCTAAATGTGCTTTAAATTTTTTCTAGTTGTCTGTTGTTACAATATAGAAATAGTATTGTTTTTTGCATATTTAACTAATATTCATCAGTCTTGTTGAATTCACTTACTAGTTTTATATTTTTCTTTTTTGTAGGATACTTAGTAGTAGATAGTTATCATATGAAAATATACTTTTATTTCTTTCATTCTGCTCTGTGTGAGTTTTATTTCCTTTTTTTTGTCATACTGCAATGACCAAAACTTCTAGTAATGTAATAAAAGAGAACTAATAAAACATTTTTCCTCTTTTATTGTCTTTAAGAGTAAACATTCAGTCTTTTATCATTAAATACAATATAAGTTGTGGAGTTTTTGAGAAAGTTACCTTTTATTACAAGTTTGTTTAGAATTTTGTATCATTATTGGGCATTGCTTTTGTGAAAAGCTTTTTTTTCTGTGTCATTTTATATCATCACATTATTTTACTCCTTTAGTTTGTTGGCACATATTTCTTTACTGCCTATAGGACTATTCAGGCTGTCTACTTCATGTTGGTCAGTAGGTAATTTGTGCCTCATTCCATACTATAACACTCACTAATACAACTATTAACTGCACAAGCTTTTTGGTCTGTGACTGATCACATGTATGACTGATCTCATAAGATTATATTACCCAGTAATGTCATAGCAGTTTCAGTTTTTGTGAATATACTCTATTTTTGCACAATAAAACTGTATTTCTCAGAATGCATAACATCATTAAATGTTGTATAACTGAATATTTCTCATTTCTCAAGGTTAGGCAGACAGGAGAAGGTGGTTAATCATATGCACCCCAGGATCATATCCCAATATCCTTATGCAATTTATTTAAACCCAGCTTCAATTCCTCGTCCATAAATATAAATAATAAAAATTCCTACTTTGTGAGCATTGAATAAAAATAGTGCTCATTAAAAGCTTACCATGGTGCCTATAGCATAGTATAGTCCACTGACTGTTAATTGCCATGGCCTGCTACACAGTAGGCAGTTCCACATGTGCCATGAACTGGGTCCATTTAACCATAGCTAATAGCGAAAAAGACTAGTGCAAGGATCTAAGTCTTCTGATTTGAAATCTTGGACTTCTGTAATGATGATACCTTATAGAAATCATGGCCTTTTTTTCTAAATAAAAGTGAAGACCAGGTAATCAAGTGGAATTCTTGTGCTATTTTTAGATTCATGAGTTATTATGAAAGAAGTGAACATCAAACATTAAAATTTCCCTGATATTGTAATGGCTTACTGGGACAACTCGACTGAATATTAGAATCATAATGTCCTAGACAATTGAGGACTGAAGACTTTACATACGATAACTACATTCTCTTGAATGGAGTCCAAGAAGTTCTCATATCAAACCCTATTCTCTAACAAAAGAGAATTAGCATGAAATGTCAATGTTTTAGGTTAAATAGTGAGTTAATAATTAAATACTGCGAGAAAAAAGCATTGACACTTCTTCAGGGCATGGAATCTTCTTCCCTGTGTGAGCATAGTTCTTGCCTTCTGAAGGTAAAAAAAAATTTAAGCTAGACCAAAATTTTCTCCTTTTTAATATTTTATTTTATTGGTGTGTGTATGAGTGTATTGCCTACATGTGTTTAAGTGCACCTGTGTCATGCAATGCCTTCAGAAGTCAGAAGAGGGCATCAGATACCCTGGAACTGGAGTTTTTAGCTACCATGTGGGTGCTGGGAACCAAACCCAGGTCCTTTGCAAAAGCAGCCAGTGCTCTTAACCACTGAGCCATCTCCAGGCCCCCACATTTTCCTTCTCAACTTTCATCTCACTATTTGTTTCTTTCTTGATCTTTATTCCAAGTCATACACTTCCTATTCTATTTCTGAAATGCTAGCTGCTGTTAGTTTGACATGGCATATAGACAAGGAAATCTTAAACAATTAACTTTCAAAAGAAAAAAATCCAAATAGTGAACTTTAAGTATTAATGGGCAACTGGGGTGAAAAAACAGTTATGGGGCTTCTTTACTTATTTTTAATTGAATTTTTGCAAATTTCACACAATATATTTTGATCATATTTAGACCCTCTCCCCTATCTGCATCACTTTCATAGCCCCCCACCACCAGGATTAATGTACTCTGCCATATATTTTAAGGCCTATCGAGTCAAATTTGTATCCCCAAATGTCCTTCAGTGTGGGTCCATCCACTGGAGCCTAGTTAACCTATCCACTGTCACACCTTTAAAGAAAACAGGTTCTCTCCCAGCAGTTATCAGTTGCCAACAGTTCCTCAGTCAAGGTGGGGGCTTCTTCCCCACTTCCCCACTTCTGTGCTGGGATTTTGTCTGGATTCAGCTTATGCATGCTGTTACATTGCTATAAATTCACATAGGCAAGTTCCCAGAAGGCTGGTAAACTTGTTTCCTTGTGCTCATCTACCACCCCTTGTTCTTACAGTCTACCCCCCACCTCCACTCTTCCACAATGGTTCCTGAGTGCAGCAGAGGTTTAATATAGGAGTCCTATACAGGAACATGCACGCTGCAATCTCTTACTCTCTATACTTTGGCCAGTTGTGGCTTTCTGTGTTAATCACTGTCTGTTGCATGAAAAAACACTATCGACAATATTAATTAACTCTGAACAATAGAAATAATAACAATAGTCTTTAAAGGCTGTATCAGTCTACTTACAGCTTTTCCTTTTTTATTTGTATTTTCTTGTACCGGGGCCTTATGAGGTATTATTAACACATCTGAAAAAGAATGAATAAACAACACCAAAGATCATATAAACTGGTTGGCACTTGTGGCGTATGATGAGTTGACTTCATAGACACATCTCTTGGCCAGTGACTGTGAAAGCGGTGGCCAAAAGTACAGGCTCTGGAACAGGAGGTTTGGATTCCAAGAGTCTGTACAACTAATGGTAAGTAAGTTTGCCTTTTGTGGCCTCATTTTACTTGTCGAGGGATGAAAATCCTCTTTGGAGGGCTGTATTATGATTTAATGGCTAATGCATCTAACACTGTGCCAGCAGGGTAAGAAGCACAAAACCAATGTAAATTTTATTCATATTCTTACCATCATTACTGCCCTCTTTACTGTGATGCCTGAATGCATTGTACCCTTGGATCTGTCACCTAATAACAAATTTTTCAATACCACTGTTGGAATGAATTTGTTAAGTGATTGAAGTTATATGTTACCATACTCTGTACATTTCATTCATATGAGAGATTGTCTTAGATTGTAGTCAATGTTTATATTATTTCCACTTTGACAATGGCTTTTGATATATCAAAAATAAAAGTTAATTTTAAAAAACTTAACTATTATACTCCCAGTAACATTTGTTTTGAGGGTTGATGAATATTAGGTACAGTATATGAAGCAGTGTTTCAATGCTTGTTTAAAAGGTGACTTTTACCCATTCTTCTTGGAGGTTATCTTGGCGGTATGTCATTTTAGACTATCCTCTGACAGTTATTTGTGTGATCTTCTATCATAGCTTTGCTATGCATACCTAATTCTGAGCAACCTATATTCTAGATCTCTTTTGTGAATAATTATGTATTTCCTTAATAATTCAATTTGTGATCCTAGAGAGACGTCTTCTGTAAGTCAAGAGAATTATAAAGTAAGCAGTGTAATGACCATGTATTTCAATGAATTATAAAGCTTTATTGAAGTGTACATGTACAAATAACCAGGACTCAGAAGATCTCAGTGAAAGGTGCTCAAAAGTAACTGGGCTAACTACACACCTCTAATTTAACTACCAGTAGTGATAATCGAAAGAATTCAACAAAGATGCTATTTGAACATTACTAAATAAGCTCTTTAATGCATTATATTTTATTTTTTATAATGTAAACATACTACGTAATATTTGTATATAATGTATGTAATTTTGGGGTTAATTATATAAAACTAATATATATGAGCAAATTGAAATCTAAAAAAGTATAGCAAAATTATTTTTTTGGGGGGGGGTTTCTTTGAGACAAGGTCTCATATAGGCCACCAGGCTGGCCTTCAATTGGTTTCACAGCTAAGGATAATCTTGAACTCCTGATCCTCCTGCCTCATCTCCAAAGTGCTAGGATTATAGGTGGGTACCACCATATAGCTAACAAAATCACTTTAAATATATATTTAGAAATCTTTAAATATTTTTTTAAAGGAGAAGCTCTCATAGAGCCTAGGATGAGCCTCATACTTGCTTTGTAATGAAGCTGACCTTGAACTTCTGATTCTCCTGCCTCTACCTCCCTAGGTACAGGTGTGTGCCACCATACCCAATTTATAGCATGTTGGTGATTGAACTCAGGGTTTCCTGCATGTTAGGCAAGCACTCATTACATTCTCAGCATTAGTGTCCTCATCTGTAAAATCAGGACAGAAATTTCCAGCCTCACAGCATTGTGTTAGATAAGATATGTGAAGTATTCACAAAGTTCTGGAGACTAAGTAAGTCAATCCAAGATACTGTGACGTTCTGGAGACTGAATAAGGCAATCTAAGGTAACTGGAAATTATTAGTCTTAGCACATAGCTCCATGTTTTGATTGCTTGTTTGATTGATTGTTGGAGATAGAATCTCACTACATAGCCCAGGCTGGCCTCAAATTCAGTCTTCTTGCCTCTGCCACCTGAATGCTAGGATTATAGGTAATGCCACCACATTCAGCCCACACTTCATTTTAAAAAACTGAGTGGTTGTGGATGTACCTTAGTGGTAGAGCACTGGCCTAGCATGTATGAAGCCCTAGAAGATAGATGATAGACAGACAGACAGACAGACAGACTAAATAAATAAGGGAAATTAGGACTTTTACAAGACAATGACCTAAGATCACAGACACAGTGGTAAGGCAGAGATAGGCTCTATTTTATTTTTTTAATTAAAAATTTGTTTTTATTTTATGTGTGTGAGAATTTTGCCTGCATGTGTGTAAGTGCACCTGTGTTGCACAAAGCCCACAGAGACCAGAAGAAGACATCAGATCCCCTGGAACTGGGAGTTACAGACCGTTGTTAGCTGCCACATGGGCACTGGGAATTGAATCTTGGTTCTCTGCAAGAGCAGCCAGTGCTCTTAACCACGGCGACATCTCACCATCCCAGGATCTACTTTATAATCTCATTTTATTCAACTGAATAATTTCCTATTTTCCAGCCAATAGTTAAAATAATATAGCCAGGAACCTGTTTTTTCAAATTTACTCCAAAAGTTCTATGATTATAAGAATCCTAAGAATCCAAAATATGCCAGAATAAGAGTTTTATAAGTAGCTATCTGTTTTGTATAACTAGAACAGAACACCCGAGGCTGGATAACTTAAAGGAATAGAAATTTATTCCTTACAGTTCTGGAAGCTGAGAATTCTAAGACCAAACGACCAGGATCTGGTGAGGGCCTTCTTGGTGCATCACTCCATGGCAGGAAGCAGAAGGTGAGGAAAGGGAAATGAAGATGAGGGAGGGAAGAAGAGGAGAGAGAGAGAGAGAGAGAGAGAGAGAGGCCACATTCCCTCAATTACAACAAAACCATGCCTACAACAAAACTCTACTCTTAAATCATTCGCTCTACTCTCATGGCAAAACCATCTCTCAGAGGGCCCACCTCCCAAAACTTCTGTCTTGAGGATTAAGTTTCTAATATATGCTTTCTGTAAGACACATTCAAGCCATACATTCAGCTCCTGGCTCTAAACATTCATGCATTTCTCACAAGCAAAACCACATTTATTCATTCCCAGTAACCCCAGTCTTAATCCTTCTGTCCACCAACTCAAAAGTCCAAAGTCCAAGATTTCATCTAAATCAGACATGGGAGATTCAAGACATGATTCATTTTGTGGCAAATTTGCCTTCAGCTATAAGCCTGTGAAACAAGTTACCTGTTCCAAAATAAAATAGTGGTACAAATATATAACTGGTCCTCAGTCAGCCTAAAGCCCAAGGGCAAAAAAGCACCAAATAGATTCCTCTCATCACTGTCCCTGCAAGTCTCTCTAACAGGCTGGCTCCTATTCCTTAAACCCAAATCCCAGGACTACCTTTCCAAACAAGATTAACTACCCACCCTGCAATAGATCCCTAAGCTATCATCCAGGTGGCCCCCTCACCAGCAAATTCCCAGCCTCAGGATCAGGCAGACAGGCTTGCTCAGCCAGGACTCTGAACTGAAATTGAACAAAAGCAGAGTAGAAGTTCCTGTTCAACACATAACCGACAAAGAACACCCATATGCCCAGATGGAAACACAAAAATATATAATATGAAAAACCAAGAAAATATGTCCCTAACAAAACTCACCAGTCTTACAGAAGGGCAGAACATTGAGAACCACTCTATAGAACCCCAGGACACAGAATTTAAAAGAACAATCATAAACATGATCAAAGAATTACAAGAAAACACAACTCAAAGAGGAAAGGCATAAACTTTTGATGGAAGCTCAAGAATATACAAATATGTGACTTAATGAAATATCAAAAACAATTCACAATTGAAAAGCAAATTCACTAAAGAGAAATAATGAAGAAAACCCAAATGGAAATGAACATGGGACTGAAAGGCTCAATAAACCAATTAGAAACAACAGGAGAAAATCTCACAAGAAGAATGAATGAAATGGAAAACAATATCAAGACTGGAGGATAAAGTTGAAGATCTGGACTCCTTAAGCAAAGTCTATGCAAAATTCAAAGAAATACAGAATTGGAATACTTAGGAAATGTGGAACAACATGAAACACCAAAATCTACATATTATAGGCATACAGGAAGGAGAAGAAAATCAAACCAATTTCATTGAACAGATTTTCAATAGGATTATAGAAGGAAGCTTCCCTAGATTAAGATATACCTATAGAGATTCAAGATGCACAGAGAACACCATTAAGACATGATCAGAACAGAAAGCCTCATGACATATCATAGTAAAAACATGAAATGCATTGAACAAAGAGAGAGTACTGAAAGCTAGAGAAAAACAAGTTACATATAAAGGAAAACCCATCAGAATAACAGCTGACTTTTCAGTGCAAACTATGAAAGCCAGGAGATCGTGGAACAAAGTATTCCCAATTCTAAACAACCATGGATGCAAACCCTGAATACTTTATCCAGCAAAACTATCTATCAGGGTTGAAGGGGAGCAGAAAATTTTCCGATGACACAAATAGGCTGAAAGAATTCATGTCTTCCACACCAGCACTACAGAGAATACTTGAAGCAATACAAAGGACTGAAGAAAGGAATGTGTATGCCCAAAAGGCTACAGAAAGAAAATAAAGGTATATCAATGAAAACACAAAACAGGGCCACAAACACAAAGAAATTAAAATAACAGTACACAAGCTATACCTTTCAATATTAACACTAAATATCAATGGCCTCAACTCCCCTGTCAAAAGACACAGGCTGGTGCAATGGATCAAGAAAGAAAACCTATCTTTTTGTTGTTTCCAAGAAAATCATCTCACCTTCAAGGATAGACACTATTTTAGAGTGAAAGGATGGAAAAAAATATTCCAAGCAAATGACCCTAAGAAGCAAGCAGGTGTTGCAATTTTAATATCTGACAAAATAGACTTCAAATTAAAACTCACCAGAAGAGACAAAGGGTTATTTCATTCTAATCAAAGGAACAATTGACCAAGAAAATATTACAATCATGAACATTTATGCACCAAACTCTGCAGCACCGAATTTCATAAAATCAGTAGTGTAGGACTATAAAACAG